GGACCTCATTTGAATCCGGTAACGATCTCCATGTCTAATCAAAACACAAATGTTTTATAACTCAGAAGAACTGGTGTTTAAGGCTGTGATATATTGTTATGATCAGAAATCAATATCTTCCTTCAACTCTTACTGAATCTAGAAACTTAAATCAATGAACCGTATCCTATGTTAAGATCTAGAGCACCCTAACTCTCCCAGGCTTCTTAAGACACAACACCTGTCACTAATTACTCGACCATCTTAATATCATAAGCCCTTTCCACTATTATTCAATGACTAACATGATGTTGTATTGTCAATGAACTCTTTACCATCTTAATATCATAATCCCTTTTCCACTTTTAATCAATGACTAACATACTGTGAAATTGTTAGTGAACTCTTTATCATATATTATAGTCTTTTACCTCGAGGAAGGTTCCACGTTCCATCCTACCATCTTCTGAGAAAAGAGCGTGAAGTACAATCTTATCCTCAAAGTACCAGACAGGCTGCTGGTTGTTTTTTACGGCAACTTGCAAAACCGAGCTGGTGGGCCCAGCAGACATGTTCTGGGACAATACCATTGGCAACATTGTCCTGGCAGATGCTCCGGGTTGCAGAGGCGGAACCTAAAATAGTACAAAACCTGGACATCAGTTTCAGGAATCCAGGATAACTAATAGGCGTGGATGTATAGCATATTCAGCTACTATTACCTGAAGAGGTCCAACAGCTGCAAGGCCGAATGAGTTTTTGTTGAACTGAATCATGAAGCCATCAAGAAGTGACTGTGAGTTGTTCTCGAGGAGCATACTGTAGAATACTTGACCATCTTGTCGGGTTAATTGAGCGCTAATCTGCAGACCTTGACCCTTTGATGCTGGCAGGACAACTGGAAGCGGGCGACTGCAATCAATATTAGGTGATTCAGTGAGTTTTATAAACAACAAGGTGATCCAAATAGATATGATTGAATGAAACCAGTCCGTCGCACACCCAACTGTGTGAGAGATTTTTAATGTAATTTTCACCATCAAACCAAACTCACCCTGACGGAGCTGTGGGTTCATCTACAGGGACGATTGCAGCAATATCTGACCCCATTAGGTCACCAAGCAGATCGGGCACAGGAGCTGGGGCAGCAGCTGACTTTGGGACATAGCCTGTGGTAGCTGGAGGGGAAGCTGCACCATCAACCGGATTACCAGATGCCTCAGGATATCCTGTTTCGCTCCCTTCTACATAATCCTCATCTTCCGTTTTCTGAACTGTGGTTTTCAAGCGGGTTACAAAAGCCTCTGGCGGCTTGTGATACACAGAGGACAAGGTGGATATATTTGCAAGTAGCTCATCCAGGAGTGACGGTTCAAGTTGGTTTGAGTCGTCAGTAATCACAGGCTTTTCAGCTAAAACAACATCCTTGGCCGCCTATAGTCAAAAGAAGAACACTGGTGACTGTAGGTAAAACAGATGATTGTTGCTCATTGTCCAATGTACTTGAACTAGTTGAGTAGCATACAATACCAAGAAAACATACCTCGGGATCAGTAGATAGAAGACGCCAGTAGATGTATGCACGGTCCCTGAGATCAGGATTATCTGTCTCTACAGTTGCATTATTCAAGACAACCTGAAAATTCGAAACACAGCAAAAGCCAGGCATGTCGTCATATACATGTGCTTTACAAAATTAGAATAGTAATAGGTGTTCTTCGTAATGGTTATGGCAGAACCTGAATCATTTGTTGTGGGCCCTCAGTTGGCTTCTTCAGAAATAGTTTGACTGTAGCTGTAAGAAGCTGCAGTTGGACTTGTGCTGGCTCCTCAGGGAAATTCTCCAGGAAGCTTTCAAGAAGTTCATCCGCATTGTCGATTCTTTCAGCATATTCACCAATGATCCAAATCATAGATGCCTTTCAAGATGCCAACAAATGCAAGTATGAGTTTTACTAATTTAAGATTTATTTGGGATGGGGAAGCTTCCTGCAATTTTACACTACCCAAACAACAAATTTTATTACCTTAGCTTCTGGTTCATCCAATGTGTCTAGACTCTCACAGAGTGTTGCAATGATGGATTCATACCTGGACATTATTTTGAATGGCATAACCATGATTAAAGGGAATTACAGCACTTCAAGAAGCCAAAACAAAGAAAAATTGAAATAAATCAACTTACGTATTTGGATATCTTCTAAAGATATCTTTGATGACTATAATGGCCTCCTGAACAACATAGTTTACTTTGATCTTGATCAGCTCAAGTAAAACACTGATGCACCGTTCAGCTGCTCTTTCTAGTTTGATAGCACATCGGCCTATTGCACGGACAGCCTTCCGAACAAAATCAACATCTACTTCCGTGGCATATTCTTTGAACTCCAGAAGAACCTACATAGGCATGGTCCAGAAACTATCATGATATGCACCCAAAAAATAACTTGGACAAATGGCAGATGCTAAAAGTGTAGTAATGATTACCTGGTCTATGTTTCTGTCAGAAGCAAGTTTTATCATAATCTCTAACTTCTCCATCTTGACATAAATCGGATCATTATACTTGCAGAAGAACACCTACAAGAAAACCATGAAGCATTATCAATAAATATGAGAATATATCAATTGCTTGTTTCCGAGAGTCCACAAGACAGGATCAAGCTACCTTGATTTCATGGGCAAGAATAGTTGGTCTCTTTTGGACAATAAGGTTAATGTTACGAAGTGCAACATACTGTATCTCAGGTTCTGCAGAAAGCAATGTAACTAGGGGAGGAGCCATCTTCTTGCAAAGATTTCGAATCACATCTGTACTAGTAATAAGCTCCATCTGCTGAAGGATCATCTGGAAAGCTCACAAAGGAAATGAACAGAAGAGGAATAGCATTAGAAAACTATGTAAGGGAATATAGTTGACACTTCACAAACAATTTTAACTGGTGAACAGATGACATTCCAGAGAATTTTTTTTTAAGTGTCACCTTCACAGCTGAAAGCACAACAGCACAGTTGGCATGTTGCAACCTTGGAGTGACTCTCTCAACAATATTCTCAGCTTCACGAGGATCAGCTGCCTTATACCTCGACAAAGCATCTAATATAAATACTTGACCCCATCTGTGAAGAACACAGACAGTATTACTAAAATTGAAAACTATAAATATGTATCCAACAAAAGCAAGCAAGGAAAAAATAGTCGTTTTATGAATCCCTTTCACCAAACTTCAAACAATGAGTCCTTTATCTACACAGAAAACCTTCAACTTCAATAACAACAAATACATCCTAAACTGCCACAATTTTAGGTTAGATATAGAATAAAAAGAATAGATAAACTGATGCTTTAACACGAGAAGCAAGTCCGCAACTCAACAGATTATCCTACTGTGAATATTTAGGCCAGCCTGTACGTTCTTTGAAAACAAAACCTAATGATGATCTGACTGAAATGAGTCAATCAGAGACAATCTGAGAGAAAGTAGGATACGGAAATCAGGAACTACTTACTCAGTACATTCATTCAAAGCTGTAAGGAGCTTTGTGAGGGTGGTACTATTGATTTCAAATATGGGACCAGTACTATTCTCTTGTATCTCTGCAAGGGCTGCTACAGCATTTGCAACAACCATTGGATTATTGTCTGATATTAAATCCTTTAAGGCTTCAAGGAACCCCCTATCCTCAACTAATTCCGCATTTATGTCAAACAATTTAGCAACACAAATAGCTGCTGTCTTGCGGACATATGGGTCATCATCCTGAAAATGAATTGCAAAAGGCCAGCAAATACAGAAATATTTCATCAGTCAAGATAATAAAAAAATCTTGAGGAACATAAATATTTGCTACAAGGTAGCATAAAAACTCAACCTTTAGGCATTTCTGAAGAGGGTCACACAGATATTCTGTGATCTTGTCAACACGAATACAGCCCATTGTTCGCACAGCCAAAGCCCGGATCAATGGATTTGGGTCTTGTGAATCCTGCCGAATACAAAGCAAAAGTTTAATAATGATGAGTTTCTTCACTAATTTTTCGTCTCCCAAAATCAGAGAAAGACCAAGAAACTTGCCATATGGAAGGCCATACTGCTTGGGTGTTACCTTTACAAAAGTATTTACTGCAAGGATAGCAAGATCTGGCTGGCTTTTGGCATAGTTTATCAGATACAAATAAACAAGCTTCTTCAACTCCAGATTCTCTGTTTGCATGCAATTGACTACATCAGTGAAAAGTGATGAAACATCCTTTCCAACAGTCATTGCCGCAATAACCTTCTTAACAGCATCTTTCCTCTTATCCTAGGAACATAAAAAGAAAAGAGAGATCAGGAAACTGAGGCAAAAACCACATGCCATCATCTTCAATCAGTACCATATACAACCATTGGACCATCTACTCAAAGAATAACTGATCGTCCAACCAATGCATTGATCCAGATTCAAAACTTATCATCCAACAATCTAAACACATCCCCGTATTAGCCATTTCTTTGAATTTCATTCCATTTCTACATGATTTCATATCAAACATTGAACACATAACTATAACGTAACACCATCATCAATCTTTCCAATTAAAACCAACAGTAGTAATCAATTCGTATCCAGAATCATACAGATCTATCAGAAAAATAGTTTTGCGAAATTCAACAAACATGAAAGAGATAAGATTAGAATCGTAAAAAATAGCGGATCACAGATCCATTTATGAAATCAAACGGAGAAGAAGAACCTTATACTGTGAATTCAGCTCTTCTTTAAGCTCAGGGATCTCTCCCTTCTTCGTAGTCGAAAAGTATTTCGAATCATGGCCGCTCATTTCTCCCTTCTTCAACCTCCACACTTCTTCTCCTCCTCCGAGACGATCAGTGACAGAGACGAAGACGCGAAATTGCAAAAAGTAATAGGTCGGGGTATTTTAGTAATTAACAAAAGTTAGAGGTCGTTTTAAAATTAAAATTAATTACAATTTAACCCTAATATTTCTCGAAATTACCTCTTGACTTCGTTTAGTCAACGCCAGTTGCCATCCAGGGGAGGGGAGAAGAAGAATTTGTATTCACAAGTTGACGGATTCGAGAGAGATGAAGTCAGAAACACGTTTGTGAGAGTTTGGATCAGATTCTCAAAGACTTTTTTGCGAAGAGTCTCTGATCCTTAATCGCTTCTCTCTCGCTTGACCTCATTTCGTCGTCGAAATCAGATCCGTGTGAAAAAATGGCGCCGAAACAAGATATGGAGAAGATGGAGCTTCGTAAGAACTTCCGTAATGTTTGGCATACCGATCTTACCCACAGTATCCAGAACGATACTCCTTGTAATTTCTCACTTTCTCTTTTTGGAATTTGTGATTGGATTGGTTTTAAGTGTTGATTTGAACAATTTATGTTTTGTTGTTGTTGTTGTTCGCAGATTGTTGCTTCGCGTTGTGGTGGTAAGTTAGCTTTCTCGTTGCTTGCTCTCTCTGTATTTGGAATTTAGATCTTGTTTATTTGAATTGACGAAGATTTGACTTTGAAATGACTTCGAATTACATTGTAAGATCGGCTTGGTTTATGGAGTGATCTGAATTTCACAGATAACACGAGTTTTTTCTCTGATCATTCATCGTTGTAGTTGCTCATCTTCCAGTTTGGTACTAGAGAATGTGTAATAGGACTTTGACATTGTATGATTTGTATGTCTTTGGGTCTGATATGTTCCATACACATGGAAATGGGAATGTCTTTTTCTTCTTCTTGCAGTGCCCCTTGTGCATCATACTTGCTTCGCAAGCGTGCACTTTACGATGATATGTCAAGGTATTTCACACATTTAGTTACTTTCGTATAGATCCATTCCAATTCCATCTTCTCAGTTTAAAAATATCTTTTTTTTTTGTATCGCAGGTACATATGCTGCGCAGGTTACATGCCTTGTAGTGGTAGGTGTGGAGAAACCAAATGTCCTCAACTTTGTCTTGCCACTGAGGTAAGGATCTTGATTTTGTTAGCTATTATCTTCAAATGAAGTCTTTCTGTTTTTTTTGGACAACAAAATGAAGTTTTTTCTATAGACCTAGTTAGTCTAGAAATTTCAGTTTCAGTATCTGAATACTTCCTGTAACATATGCATACATTCTTAGTCATACTTTGGTGTGCCTTGTGAGTTAACCTCGTGAACTTTAAGTTTTAGCAAATTTGCGGTCTTCTAAATAGCAGATCAATCGCAGGTCTTCTGCTGCTTTCCAAACTCTGTGGCCTCGACTCGCTTTCTTCTGCAAGATGAGTTCCAAATTCAAACGACAAAATGTGACAACTGCATCATTGTAAGTATCCTCATTGCCCAGACCATGCCTTTTACTGACACTCACAAGCAATTACAAACACGATAAACAAGTTTCGTAATCTGTGCTGTCTTTTTGGCTGTGTAGGGTTTCATGGTTTGCCTCAGCCAAGTGGCTTGCATATTCTCCATTGTTGCATGTATTGTCGGTATTGATGAGCTTTCAGAAGCTTCTCAGTTACTCTCATGTTGCTCTGACATGGTGTACTGCACGTAAATATCCCCCATCCATAGTATCATTCTTATACGTTTTGATCAAAACCCAATTTTAACCTATTGTCCTGATATATCGTACTTTTCTTCGTCTGCAGGGTTTGCGCATGTATGCAGGTAAGAGTGATGATATCATATCAACCCATTACAATCTCTCCCTACTTAAATCCTACACTTACGGATTCCTGAATAGAATCTAATAATATCTATATTTATAATACTTTTGTAGACACAACACAAGATGGAAATGGACAAGAGGGACGGTAAGTTCGGGCCACAGCCAATGGCAGTGCCTCCGGCTCAGCAAATGTCACGGTTTGATCAAGCCATCCCACCTGCAGTCGGTTATCCTCCACAACAAGGTTACCCGCCTTCTGGTTATCCTCAACATCCTCCACAAGGTTATCCTCAACATCCTCCACAAGGTTATCCTCCTTCTGGCTATCCTCAACACCCCCCTCCATCAGCTTATTCTCAATACCCTCCCGGTGCTTATCCTCCTCCCGCTTACCCAAAGTAATCATCTCTCTTTACCTGTTTTCTCTTCCGATTGGAAAAATCTATTTCATCTCTTTTGATTCACGGCATGTCGTTAATATATATACTGTCTTGTTATGGGTCAAGCGTTGAGCGTTCGCTGATTGTTTTGAGGTCGTTGTTTGTATGAGATGTTGACCTCACATGTTGTTGTTGTCTGAAACGTCCCTCTTGGACTAAGAAATTTCATGAATATTTTTTTTTCCCCTTTAAATTCTCTCTTTATCGAAAGTACAGAATCCAATACAATTCACGATCCGTATATACAGGAAAAACATATTGTCCTGATAAAAGAGGTAGAAGTGATCTTGTGGCTGTGGTTGTTAATCTTTAGATGATCGATAAATTGTATTTGAGAGCATTTCTTTTATGAATCATCATATACTGAGAGAAGAACCAGGGCGGGATCTCAATGAATAAAATTTTAAATAACGTGGCAAGAAATTAAGAGCGGTAAAACAGCCTAAAAAAACTCTAATTTTCTTCCCTTTATAAAAAAAATTAATACAAAAAACTAGATTAAGAAAATTACTTAACTTCAGTGACTTCACCTGCTCTACATACACCAACATTGATCCATAACGTATTATTCCTCTTTGTTTGTAATACTCTGCAACAATTCCTCCTAGGTGACTGTACATAAAAACACACAAAAAACATTAATCACATATCAACCATATGCAAAATGTGATAATATGTGTTACTTACCCTTTCCCATAGATGAGGGTCAGGTTTCTTGTAGACGACGATGGTATTAATCTCAGCTGGGTTTGTCATCTTCCATCGGCAAGAAGGATGCGAAACACGGTGTATCGTGTATTCGCTAACCGTCGTGTTCAGCTGCTGGTCGAATTTCGTGCTCGACATATAAAACACAAACGGTTTTTGGCACGGGTTACGGCTAACCGGCCTGGTGTTGAAGGCGTAAGCAGTGTAATCCGCCCGTTTGTACCAATTCAAAAAGGTTCTAGAAGGCATTTCCATTTCCCGGGGAGAGAAAATTCCGCGGAATATTTGTACCGCGTAGCCCCAGGAGACCGAGATGGTCCAGCTCTTGTGCTTGTCGTAGCATATCGACTGCTGGAGAAGCCCGGCTGAGTCGAGCTTCATAGGTTGGGTTAGCTTCTTTAGAGCACGGACACGTGTCATATTTGGGAAGATCGGTTCCACCACGTCGAGGTGGTGCATTGAGACGAACGGTGTTACTGGGTGTGCAGCAAGGAGGCCAAAGAGGTTCCCGTAAACGTCGTACTGAAACGAAGAAACAGAACAAAAAAAAACTCAAGATGTTACAAGGACGTGGATATCACGCGCTATTTTGGCGCGTAAGGAAAAGAGAGGAACGAGTCATTAATTGTTAAAAAACAGAAAAGCGGGTCCCACTCGTTACAATTAGCAATTGAGCTACTCACGCGCCGATTTGTCGGTACCAAACCACAGGAAATTTTTTGCCAAAATAGCATCCAAACAAAAAACAGAACAAAGAGACGAAATTGAAGTCATGAACCACCAGCTTGAGATTTTAAGCAGAAGCTTTCTTCCAAGAACATTAAAACATTGAATGCTTATAGCTTCAAACTTTGAAAGTTTGGTACTAAAGCCATTCCTCCTAAAACTAGAAACAACAAAAAAACAGAACAAAGAAGCTTTTCTTAGAAGAACATTAAAACATTGAATGCTTAAATTCTTCAAATTTTGAAAGTTTGGTATTAAAGTCATCCCCCCTAATAAAACTAGAAACAAAACTCTAAAAGTCTTAAAATTTGTTGAGTAGATTCCATTCCCAAAGTTCACTAATAGATTGAAACCCATCTACTTTAATTCAACACCAATACTTTCAAAACCCATGTCACAGAATCATTAAACACCAATTTTGCCATCAATCACCAAACTTGCTTATACATTCTACACTTAACAACAACAAAAACGCCAATCAAATTTATTCTCTAGACTCAACATCATCAGTTCTCACTTAATCAACTCCTCAAGAATCTCAAATTTCATTCACACAAAACACCAGCAATTACTACCTATTTTTGCCCAAATCAACAAATGTCCAACAAAATTTGACCAATTATCAAAAACACCAACACGAGTCAAGTTCTTACCTGGTGAAATCCGAGTTCTTTAGTGAGTGGAACACCAAGTTCAGCCATACAAGCTTGCATGCGATCATCTGATCCATACAATGCAGGATACCTCTGTATACACCGATCTTGCATCTTACTCAAAGCTTTAGCCAATGGATAACTTATAGCAAACCCACCTCCACCATAAGCCATACCATACGAGAAAAAAATGTTCTGTAAATGAGATTCCGACAAGCTCCCAATGTAATACATCTGCTCATGGTCATACTTCCTCAACACCCTAATCAAATTATCAGTAACAAACACCGTATCATCATCTCCCATCACGAACCACCTCACATTCTTCGGACCTAAACGCAGCGTTTCAGAAACAATCCTCGAGATCCGTAACGCCGAACGTTGTCCTTGTTTGTTAGTATAAGGAAAAGAAGCAGTTCCGCCGGAGATTTTCACCGGCGGAAGAAGCTTCTCGTCGTCGTCGTCATCACTAACGCTCTTTCTCACCTCTTTATCTAACCAAACGTAGCCACGCATGTGTTTTGGCTTATACCAGATCTTGATATACTCTTTCCTCTGTTTCCATAGCTTAGACGACGCAGCGATCCCAAACACCACGTGGTTAAGATCCGTCAGCTTATCCACCACCGTGTCTTCTCCTTCCTCCTCCCATTCTCTCCGCCGTGAAGCTAAGGAGGTGGATAAAGACGAGACATTTGAGGAGACGTTTGTGGAGAGAGCAGAGACGGTGGTGAGAGAAGTGGAATCGTCACAGGAGCGTGAGGTAGAGACAAGCTTAAGCATGTAGATAATGTAAGTGAAGACAATGAAGCAGATTAGCCAAACCATAAGTTTTGGACCGGGTCGGGTTAAAGACCACATTCCGGGTATAGATGTACTTGATGAGCTCCGATCCCATATCGGTTTTTCCGACGAATCTTTCTGGTTTCCTTTCATCCACTTTTTTCGTTCTAAATTACAGAAAAAAGATCCAAAATTTGTGAAAACAAACCCTAGTTCTGTTTGGAATCAGGGGAGAAACAGGAAACAGTGTGTCTGTGTAGCTCTTGATTCGTAACCCAGAAGAGAACGAACCGAAAAAAATGGATCTTTCTTGCAACAATAAAGAAAGATCAATGAGAAATGAGACTGTTGATGCCAGAGAAATCGAGGGAAAATGAGAGAGATTAAGGGAAAGACAAAGTTTTTTTTTTTTTTTTTTTTGGGTTCGCTTTGGGCAGAGAGAGAGAGATGGAAGACAGATTAAAGGTGAGAGAGAACGCAATACTCTCCCACTAGAAAGTAGAAACTCCATTTAACGAGAAAATAAATAAATAAAAGAACATAAAAAGTGTAAAAATAATGTTAAAATAAAAATAAAAATGGGTTGTTGTCATTATTTTGTTTGTTTATTATTTTAATTTTTTATAATTCATTACTTGTTGAAAATATAAATAAATATCACAATCTATTTTTTGTTATTTCAAAAATATCACAATCTATTAAAAATATCAAATTTTCAAGCTTTTCGTTTTCGGTGTTACGTGAAACAAAAAAGTTGAGTGTTTTTTTTAAGATGAAAGGGAAGAGGCATTCATAAAAAAAGACGAGCGGTCGGATCCATGAATGTTTATGGGTCCTACTTTTCCACGTGGGCCATTCGGAACTATCTACGTGTCATTTTCTGTCCTAAATTCAAAAGCTAATAAATCTACGTCGTTTCGTAGGCTCGTTCGTTTTCCCAGCAAAGGAATTGGCTTCATCATTTGTTTCCGTGGTGGTACTGTTTGTTTATCGTTCTATGCTTTTAACATTTTAAGTTCAAATCTAGTTTTGTTAGATTCGAGTCAGTCCACGTGTTTGTGTAAATTTATTTCAACCTAGATTTGATTCTTTTTGTGGAAATAATAATGGACTTTAGATTTTGTCATTAGAATTTTTGGACATATGGAAAATTGGAAATCTAATTTTAGATTTACTCATATTTACTGACTAAAAAGACTATAGATGCTCATATTTATACATAGAAATTCAACACTATTACCCATTAATGATCAATGCAATCTTTACTAATGCATGTATTAGCATATTTTTGGTAAAAATATCCCTTAATACTTTAATACATTTTCAATTTTATATCCTTTGGAAAGTCATGTTATTAATTGTGAATATTATGAATTTAATCAATTAATTAACTTTGGTTCAAAAGTTTTATTATTTTCTTTAGTTGCCTACTTCTAAGAAAAATCCATTTTGGATGTATTAGTGCACAGTCAACTTATATGTATATTACATAAATAAAATTTATTTTGTCAAGTACTTATATATATAATATAATTTACTATCGTTAGAAATTGTAAAAATAAAAGTTGAACTATTGGAGAAAAATGGTGGACAGATATGAAACTAGAGCAATGATTAGTTTGTTGCTGTTGGAGAAGGTGATAGATAATTGTAACTACTACTATTTTGGTGTTTGACATTTGTAATACGTGATATAAAAGTGTATAGTTGGATTTGGTAGATTTTTGTTGTAAACTATATGAGTCCAGATGAATAAGATTAATTAGAAAACGAATCCAATGTCAAACTTCTTCTATAACCAACAAAATACAAATTCTTAAGAAAACGATGGGACTCTATTGTTTTGTTTTGAATTCAATAACTATGAATGACTAAATAAGATAAATGAGAGGAATTTGCCCACATTAAATATTGCATTACATTCTCTTTTGGATTAGGGGGATTATTTGAATAATACTGTTTCTGTCCTCTTCTTAATTGGTTTAATCTTAAAACAGAATTATGAATAAAATAATAAAAAAGGTGCATATATACCTGCTCAATATTCTCTAATTATTATATCTGGAGATCTTTGGTCCCAGCATTAGGGCAATTGCACAAGGATATCATATTCTATGTCCACTTTATATGACTTGGTTTATCAAATTGTTCATAATTGCTTGCTGTTTTATTTATATTATTATAAAACAAAACAAAAACACTTAGCTTAATGTTTGATGGACCTGAACTTGGCCAAAGCCCATTAACCTTGGATGAAACACTAACCTCATTATCTAACTTCAATATTCTCAAACGCTGTCGTTTTGAATTCTCTTACATCTGATGAGAGATTGAGAGCACAGAATCACTCAAATTATAAAATTGTAAAATCATGACTCGGTTCTTATCGTTTTTAAGATAATGGATAATGGAGAGATTTACAACTGATGATGGCATGCATAAACAATGTAATTCATAAAATTGGACGACAAGTTTACTAGTGAATGGAACCATAAAATACATATAAACTACATTACTACAATTGATCACTATATAATTCACATAGCACACATGAAGCTCAGAAAAAAAAAAAACGACTTACTATTAACAACATCAAACCTTTATTATCTCTACAAAACGTCTCAAAACGTCTTAGTTATATATCTATCAGAGAAGATTTCAGAAATTCTGGTTAAAGAAAACTTTGGCAGACATCTCATGATCAGCAACTAGCCGTCTTCATCGCGACTAGACCATGATTGAAGAAGGGAATACACGAGCACTGGACCGACAAATGGTGAAAATGGCGGTGGTCTACTAAAGGCAACCATAGGCTCTACCGTTTCCTCCATCGTCTTCATTGTTTCGCTTTCACTAATGTTCTCGTTCACAGGTTTCTTTGGTACAATGGTTCTCACCACTTTACCTGCTTCTCACAGAAAAACAGAGTCACTCTTTTCGTTTTCTTCCTAATTATGACAACGAAATCATATGAAACTTTGGAGGAATTTGATACAAGAGTTATACCGTTTGATCCTGAGACCGTGAAGATCGGTTTGAGCTTCTCTATAAGAGCAGGAAAACGTCGCATGAGGTTAGGATCTACGTTGGTCTCTCTCTATAGCTTCACCTATCTGGAAATGGATAGAAAAAATCTTGTGAATGTCATCAAGCAAACAAGAACAGTAGAGTAACATATCAGATCTCTTGCAACACTTGAGAAAATCTAAACATGAGAAAATCTAAACCACCAATACCAAATCAATGATTATTCTTACAAACCAATGAGTTTAATGAACGTAAATATATTTCTCGAGTCACAATTTCAAAATCTCACCAAGAACTTCAAGAATCGATAGTATCAAATGAGAAAACAGAGACTAACGTACAAGATTAAGATGGTGATAATTACCAGATTTCAAAAACTGAGCAAAATCAAACGAGTGTCTCGATTTCTCCTTTCGCAAAAGTTTTTTCTTCAGTGAAGACTGATCGCAGATTTGTTTTAGTTGGATAATTTCAAAGGCAGAGGAAGGTTTGAGAAGGTCCGGGACTCTTGGTTTAATTAAATAATTTTATTAAATAGCCTCGCACTTTTTCATTATTTCTTATTTACCCCAATTAAATATGTATTTTCATATAGGTCCCGAGATATAGTCCATTGATTTCGTTGGTTTGCTTATTTATTTGAATGAAAACGGTACCAAAATTTGTTATTCTTAAGTTAAAACATCGAAATTTAAGCAAGTGTAATTCATAAATAAAATTCTGTTTTTTTTTCGATTTTATAAAAATTAACAAACATGGTGATCTAATAAGTAAAAATTTGTGTTGTTAGTCGGGATAAGAGAACAAGCCTCATATAGTGTTTCTATATTTGGCATTGTAAATACTTAAATAGACAATAAAATTAAATCGTTACATATTTTAAAGGTAATCTATGTCTTCTTTTTTTTTTTGTTATATTTAGGTTTCACGAATTATCCGAGTTATATAATATATACCCCCATTTGCAAAAGAAGAAGCTTCACTTTCCGAATTATTAAAGGGTGAAGAAACTTCAATTGATCACGTAATGCAAGGACAAATCAATTTATGTCCAATGTTCAATGTTCAGTACTTTTATATATTGCTGAAAATATCGACTAGAAAGTAGAATCCTTTGTTCCACAAGTTGAAATTAATTAACTGCAAACTCAAAACACACATTTCCACACGTAAATATAAATAACTGATGTGTAGAAATCTAGATAAGGATCTCTACATTACATTACGTATGATATAATATAGTAAAAGCCTCACTAGAGAGATACAAACCCTAGTTTTTTAACTTCATTTTCATTCCTTTACTTATCTCCGAACAAGTATCCTAGAGATGAGCCTCCACCAGGAACCGATTTCACCTTCGTCGTTGGACGATCCTGAAGTTTTAATAATAATAAACCTTTTTTGTTTTCTTTTTGGAAAACAGAAAGTAGAGTTTGATTAATCAAAGAATAAGAAGAAAAATAAAAGACTTACGGTGACGAAGTTGCCGGAGTTTTGGCCCTGAGCTCTTTGGTAGTTGTTGTTAGAGATCATGGGTTTTTTGTCAGCTTCATTGTCCTCGGTGGAATCTACGCCGTACGGTGGTGCAGGCTTTGGGGCCACCGGTGGAGGCGTTTTTGGAATCTCATTGTCTGACCCAAAAAGATAACCTAACGAGCTTTGTCCGCCTCCAAAGCTCCCACCTCGGCTCATTGTCTGATTGAGAGCCAATTAGCTTGATAGATTATTAAATGCTGACCAAACCCTAATTAATTAGCAGACTTGTTTTGTACGACAGCTTAATCAGAAAACGCTGAGTACTAAACAATATATTGTAAGATAGAGAAGCTTAAATAGAGGTGGTGGTAGAGATTGTAGACGATAGCGTAAGAGGTATAATCTCGTAAATACATTAACTCAATTATCTAAATAGAGATGGCAGTAGAGAATTGTAAGAGTTATAATCTCGTAATTAATTTAAATTTACATATTTGTTATATTTTTAACGTTAATATATATATAACCTAAACCATGCATGAATTTCCAGTTTTTATAATTTTGAACTAAGTACTAATTAAATATCTCTCTAAACACACAGTTAAAAAGAAATATATATGATGACGGAATCTTTGAAAATATTTTACAAATCACCATTTGAGTAATCCTAGTTATCAAAATATTTACAAATAACAAGGAGTTGTCTCCTAGTGGTAAAGAGCCTCCAGCTGGGGTATCGCCACATGGATTTGATTCCTGGTCACTGCGGAATTCACATGGCGGCTGCAGGCTTCCAGGATCACGTCAGCTCCGTTTGGACACGACGCTAGTCGGGCCACTTCGGTGGGACCGGACACCTGGTTATAAAAATATATATATATATATATATATATATATATATATATATGGGAGACTCACAAAAATGCCCCTTTTTCAATACCCCTTTTCAAAAATGCCCCATTTGGTTGTCCATTTTTAAAAATACCCCTTTTATGTACAAAATGACTAAATTACCCTTCTTTTAATAAAAGATATCACAAATATATAAGGTAATATAACAAAATTAGGTCCACAAAATACAAAATATTTTTTGGCGGGAAAAGTGATCCCTCAATTTTTCCCGTCAAGAGACTTGTAAAAACTTGTGAAAGCTTTAGAATACCTTGTAC